GAAAGGGTAAATGATGATTAAATTAGCACTCAAGGCCCAAACCAGAATAATAGTACAAAAAAAACATAAATCCCTATAAATCCGAAAAATATCTCGAGGGTTCTCCATGGACGAATCCCCCGCCATCAAAGTAATCCTATTCTTCTCCTTATGGCTTTCTTATTTGTTGTTCCTCTTACTCACGCACTCTTTAACCTCTGTTTCTCTATCTATTGTTTCTTGCTTCACAAGTTGAACTTATATGTAAGAAAAGTAGTAGAATTTTTTATTAGATATTTTGTACCCTACGGGAAGGAATCGAACGGTACTACGGTAGTGATGCAGACAATCGAAAAATCAGGTAAATCTGACTCTCTCTTCTTCTTTTTTGAGATTTTGTATCTGAAATAGATGTGTTCTTGTTTTATGTTACGATGGTTGTTTCGGGATATGACAAATCGCTTGGTGAGGATGTTATCAAGAGCTTGTTGAGTGGACACTCTTCTTCATGTGGAGAGATAACTAAAGTTTATATTCCCACACGCGTTGGAAGCGAGAGTAGTCGCAACAAGTTTGTGTCTTCTTCTTCTTCCTCCTCCAAGCTAGCTTCATCAAGAGATATAATAATACTGCTGACTATAAAATATGTTTGTTGTTTTGTCTTGTCTGTTTTAAACAGATATGCTTTCGTTGACATCACCTGAGAAGACGCAATGTAGTTGTTAAGGTTATGCCGCCTTCGTCTGAATGTTGTATAGCTACTCCTGAACTTTATGTTCAATTGGCCAAACTCAATGAGAAAGCTACTCCGTAAGTCTTTTTTTTTAATCTGTTAAATGTGCTGTATGTTTTATAATATATCATCTCTCTTACAAATTATTGCAGTATCAATGTTGTTATGGTTTCGGGATTTGACATTTCGCTTCCTGAGTACCGTGTCATGGACCCGCTGAGAAAATATTTCTCTGCATGTGGAGAGATCAGGGTTGTTTGTGTGTTTTCGAGACGAAAATGGTCTTCTCAAAAAAGTATGTGGCTTCTTCTTCCTCTTCCAATTTGTCACCAATTATCTCTCAAGTTGTTATTAGATGGTAATGACTAGAGACTTGTTTTTTTTGTTTCAATATTTTTACAGGACTGCTTCTGTTGAGATTTGGGGACTGAGAGATGTCGTAGGAGAGAAGGCGTTTGCGCTTAATGGAACTGACATGGGAGGATGGAAAGCAAAGGTTAGGCGTTTTGTTGAACCAGAAGAAATAAACTTCAACACGGTTTATTGTTGATGGGCCTAGCAAGAAGGATAACATGACTAGGGAGTAGAAAGTTG